AGGGACTTCGTCCCAGCGGGGTGCTGAGGGTCCCTGTCCCCGTCCCGGGCCTGGGGGGGCCGGTTCGGGGTGCCCGTCGGGGAACCGGGGGTCGCGGCCCCGGTATGTCCTTGCTGGGGTCTCCTCCCGGTTTCCTCCCCCAGCAGTGAGGCTGCGGCATCCTCGCTGCCTCCTCTTCCCCGTGCCCACCATGAGGTGGCAGGAATGGGGTGGGGACAGGCACTTGGGACCCCGTGCCGTGCTGTGCCATGCCGTGCTGTGCCGTGCCAGGCTGCGGCTGCCTGCGTGCCAGCAGGCTGGACATGCCACCTGCACTGGCCAGTGCCCAAAGCCAGAGGGAAGTGGGACAGGAGAAGTGGGAAGAGGAAGGTGGTAGCACTCAGGGACAAGGCAAGGGGACAGCCCTGTCCCCCAGTGTCCCCTCTGCCATCTGGTGTGGGCCCACATTCGGTGCTCCCGGGAAGCCGTCAGGCACAGTTCTGCTCCTAACACTGCAGGAAGGATCAGGAGAATTCCCAGAGAATTCCCGTGTCGGGAGGGATCGTCCGGGGCACGGAGGGGCTGAGCCCTCCTCAGCTGCCACCAACCTCCAGGCAAGGAGCCAGTGGGGGACACGTGGCTGCCTGGTCCCATCTGGAGCTCCGTGGGGTGAGCTCTGTGTTGGGTGAGCTCAGCTGTGCTCCCCAGGACCCCCCTGCTCACCGTGGCACATCCAGTGGGGACCACGGGCCGGGATGCTCTGAGCCAGGAGCTGATCTCCAGCCCCCGTGCCCTGACCCCGCTGTGTCCCGCAGGGTCCCTGGATGCCAGGGTGCAAGATGGGCACCACGGCCGTGCTGCTGGCCCTGCTCCCCACGGCCGCCACGCAGCCCACGCCGCCCCCGGGCTGTGGCCACGACCTCTCCTCCCTCTACTACAACCTCTGCGACCTCTCAGCCGGCTGGGGCATCGGGGTGGAAGCAGTGGCCAGCCTTGGCGTGGTGACCACCTTCGTGCTCACCATCGTGCTGGTGGCCAGCCTGCCCTTCGTGCAGGACCACCAGAAGAAGAGCCTGGTGGCCACGCAGGTCTTCTTCCTCCTGGGCACCTTCGGGCTCTTCTGCCTGACCTTCGACTTCATCGTGGGGCCGGATTTCTCCACCTGCACCTCCCGCCGCTTCCTCTTCGGGGTCCTCTTTGCCATCTGCTTCTCCTGCCTGCTGGCCCACGCCGTGGCCCTCAACTTCCTGGCGCGGCGCAACCGGGCGCCGCGGGGCTGGGTGACGCTGGCGGTGGCCCTGTCCCTCGCCTCGGTCGAGGTCATCATCAACGCCGAGTGGCTCATCATCACGGTGGCGCGGCGCGAGGGCGGCCCCGCGGACCCCTGCCGGCTGGCGGACTCTGACTTCGTCATGGCGCTCATCTACGTCATGGCCCTGCTGGCGGCCGCCCTGGGCGCGGCCTGCCCGACCCTCTGCGGCCGCTACGGCCGCTGGCGCAAGCACGGCGCCTTCATCCTGGCCACCACCGGCCTCTCCGCGGCCATCTGGCTGGCGTGGACCATCATGTACCTGTACGGGAACCAGCGTGCCGGCCACAAGCCCGGCTGGGATGACCCCACGCTGGCCATCGCGCTGCTCTGCAACGCCGCCGCCTTCCTGCTGCTCTACGTCATCCCCGAGGTGACGCACGTGACACGGCGCAGCCCCGAGCAGGCCTTTGAGGACGATGGCTACCCCACACGTGGGGTGGGCTACGAGACCATCCTCAAGGAGCAGAAGTCGCAGAGCATGTTTGTGGAGAACAAGGCCTTCTCCATGGACGAGCCGTCCTTCGGTGGGTTTGCCAGGGACCTCCTCACCCCACGGCAGCGCTGCCGGTGGGCACCATCCTCTTGGGGACCCTGGGGGATGTCCCCGGCGGGGATGGCAGCGGTGGGTGGGTGACGACACGTCTGGCAGTGACCTGCCCGGCACTGGCGCCTGCTGCTGTTGTGGCTCCCGAGAACTGGCCGGGCTGGGTGTACCAGTTTGGGCTGAGCCCAGCAGCCACAGGGAGCTCCCTCCCCGGCACGGGGTGCCCGCGGCTCCTGCCCCTCCGCCCCAGGCCCAGAGACCCTGCAATGACACGGGGTGGTGACAGTCCCAGTGGGTATCGTGGGCGGGCATGGCAGGTGTCTGCTCCCCGTGGGGCGAGGGAGGGTCCCCTGAGCAGCACCTGCACCCGAGAGACCCTACAATAACAAGCCATGGCCAGGCAGCAGCGATGCCATCCCTGGGGACAGGAGTGTCCCGCGGGAAAGGCACGCAGCTGTTGAGTCAGCTCGTTAAACCTGCTAACGAGGTACAGGGAGCCCCAGTGGGGTGGCAGTGGTTCCATGGTGACTGTCCCCGTGTCTCAGCAGCCAAGAAGCCGGTGTCCCCATACAGTGGCTACAACGGGCAGCTGCTGACCAGCGTCTACCAGCCCACCGAGATGGCTCTGATGCACAAGGGGACGGTGAGTGTGACACCAGGGGCGGCCACATCCTGCGAGGAGCGACGGGCATGGGGGGCAGGGTGTGGGTGGGGTGTTCTGGGACCCCTGTGTCCCAATGGCTGCTCTAACATGGTGGGGACCTTCCAAGCCTTCCACGCCCGTGTCTGTCCCTCAGAGCGAAGGTCCCTACGACGTGATCCTGCCCCGCGCCTCCACCAGCCCCATGCCCGGCAGCGCCAGCTCCACGCTCCGAGCCGAGGACGCCTTCGCGGCGCAGGCCCGGCACTGCAGCATCCCGAGGGACACCCGCAGCTGCCAGGTGGGTGAACGGTGCCTGCAGCAGGGGCAAAGTCCACCTCTGCCATGGTGACGGCTCTGCCCAGCACCCAGAGCCCCCCCATAGGTCAGGGTACACGTCCGTGGTCCTGGTGCCACCGCGGTGCCACCTCGCTGTGCCCACAGGTGCAGTCCCCGTACAGCAGGAACCGGTGGTGAAGCCCCCGGTGATGGTGATGCAGCTCCCACAGCGCCGTCCTGCTGCCCCAGGGCTCGCCAAGCCTCACCCCACCCTGACTGACGTGTGAGTCCCACCCCGGCTGGCAGCCAGAGCTGCTTTCTGCCCGTGGGACGCCTGGACACGGTCCCAGAGCCAGCGCTCCCACCTGCCCGTCCCACCTGGCCATGGAGCCCCCCGTCCCTGCCTCAAGGACTGGTTCCCGTGAGGACAGCCCCGGTTGTCGCCTCACTGCCTTTGTGATGCACAGACCCCCCACTTTCCCCAGGCCAAGGACCCTCCAAAGCTGCGCAGCCCTGGGACCCCACCCAGGGCACCCTCAGCACCGAGCCCCACACTGACCCCCACCAGCCCTGGGGACGCCGAGCTGGCCCCATCCCACCTCAGAGCACAGGGGGACACCAAGCTGTCCCCAGCTCTGCCTCCTTCTGTGCCTGTTTCCCCGTTGCTGGGGCTCAGGGGATCGGTGCCTTGCTGGGGCTGGGGACGGCCCCCACAGCTCTGGCCGCCTTCTCCATGCCTTCCCCCCTGGGGGCTCGGGGACCCCTGCAGGGAGCAGGGAGGGAGCTGGGCCCCTCGCCCTCCTTGTGTCAGGTTTCTTTTCATTTTTTCAGGACACCCCAATAAAGGTGGTTTTTCCTATGACGCTGTCACAGGCGGCCTGTGGTGGGGGTCCCAGGTGTCCCCAATCCCCCGGGCTGCTCCCACGGGCTCAGCCCCGTGCCCCCATTCAGGGGAGGGACAGGGAGCACGGGGGGGGCTTCGGGAAGGTTCCACAGCACCCCCATCCCCCATCGGGGCCGCTGGGCAGGGATCCCGCGGGCAGATGGGCTGCCGGGCAGGAGGTGGCACAGCACGGAGGACGTGCCAAGGTCGCGGTGGTTTTCCCGCTCCCCTCCAGAGCCATTCCTCCTCCTCCGGGCAGGAAGCCTGCGGCCGGCAGTGCCATGAATTATTCAGGGCTGGAACGGCTCCGTGGGGGCAGCGGGTGACCGAGTGTCCTTGAGCCGAGCCGGGATGGGGCGCTGGGGCTGCCGGTGGGCACGAGTGCCCTGCACGGTGCCCGCACAAGGGACACGCGGCGGGCGGGTGGCACTGGGCACGTCCCGCCTGTGCTTAGCTGGCACAAGCCCACGCTCCCGGCTCCGGGGACACGGCCGTGGGTGTCACAGCAGGATGTGGCCGTGCCCCCAGCCGTGTTTACCTGGCACCTGTGTTTACCTGGTGCCGAGCTGCAGCGGGGACATTGCCCAGCAGCGCCAGGCACTCGGTGTCACCAGGGCCACTGTCACCACAGCACCACAGCACCACAGCACGCCCTCCCTCCCACCGGCCGCGGGCACCGCATGGCACAGCGTGTCACCCCTCCAGGGGCACCTCCACCTTCCCGGGGACACAGAGGCGACACTCGGGGACGGCAAAGCCACCCGAAAAACAAGGTGCAAAGGCAGCCGCGGGCAGGGGTGGCAGTGCCCGGCCCCTCCGGAAGAGCGGGATCCCACCGGCCCCGCCAGCGGCCCCGCTCCAACAGGGAACGCTTTGTGCCGGCGGGGCCGCGAACAGCGGGGCCTTTGTCCGCCCAGGTGAGGCGGCTGCACCGCGCCGGGAGCAGCCCCGGAGCCTCCCCGAGCCTCCCCGAGCCGGGGGCTGCCGGGGGTGGTCACAGGGCGCTGGCAGGTGGCACCGGGGACGTGGCAGCATGCCTGGCACCGGGGTCACCGTGACCAGGGACACGGGGAGGGATGCCAAGGGCAGGGCTGTGTGTGGCTGCAGCCCTGGGGCTCAAGCAGGGTCACCCATAGTGCCAATGAAGGCAGTGACGCCATGTGGCACGCTCCATGTCCCCAGCACTGCCTCGCTTTCCTCCCACCGGGTGCTGAGCTGGCCAGGCGCTGGGGTCTCCTCACAGCTGGGGAAAGAGGAATTTGCCCCCACCGGAGCCCGTGGTGACAGCGACATGCCTGGGATGCCATCTGTCCCTCAGGAATCCCTCAGGAGCTGGGAGCACAGACACGCTCATACCACCGGCTCCCACGGGTAATTTTACTCCAAGCAGGTCCATGGCACCGCAGGGACCCCACTGCAGTGCTGAGCTGTGGAGCTGTGGGAAGCCCTGGGGCTCAGCAGTGACACAAGAGCATCGGGACAATGTCCCCAGGAGTGCTCAGCCCGGCCCGGCCCGGGCGCGCTCCCGCTCCAGCTGTTTGCGCCGCTGGATGTCCCGGTAGGCACGGATGACACGAGCCCGCTCCTCCTCCAGGATGCGCCGGCGGGCCATCGACATCACCGGGGACACGGGGGACACGGGGGACACGGGGGACGCCTGGCTCTGGCCCAGACGGGGCGTCAGGAGGAGCTGCTTCCGTCCAGCCTGCAGGCAGAGACGGGACAGGGTGAGACACCGGGACTGCGCCCCGAGGAGCTGTCACCGGCTCACCCAGGCCACCGCTGCCCTCCCAGGTACCCGAGGGGCGGGTGGCATTGTCCCCAGAGCTCACCTGCTCGGCAGGACGCTGTCCCCTGGGCCGTGAGGTGATGGTGGGTGGCTGTGTCACCACTTCTCCGAACGGCACCGTGTCTGCAAGGGAGCCAGGATCAGCAGGAGAGCCTCGGGATGCCCAGTGCAGCTCCCCCCACCCCTCCGTGTGCTGCCCCCCGGGGCTGGGGTCACATCAGCCCCGCTCCATCCTCACCTTGCAACAGGCTCTTCTCCAGCAAGTCCTCCTTCTTCTCCTCCTTTTTCTTCCGAGCCTTTTCCAGCTTCCTTTTCTGAAACCTGAAGAGCCATGTTACAGCTGGGGCTCAGGGCTGGACAGGGAGCAAGCAGTGAGTCCCCACCTCACGGGAGCCCCCCAAATCTCACAGCTTGTGGCTTTGTTCCCAGGGATCCATCCCCATGGAAAGGGGCCCCACTGCCCCCCAGATGTGCCCTGCAGAACTGGATAAGGGGACAGGCCACAGGCATGGGGTGGCCCCATCTGGCCCCAGGGCCTTGCTCTCACTCTTTTTTCCTTTTGGACTTCTCTGGAGCCGTCGCCTCCTTCTCAGGCTCCCGCTGGAGCTGGTTCTCCGTGAGGAAGAGGACACGCTGCACCTCCTGCTCCATGCGGCAGATGTAGGAACGCTCCGACTCGCCCCGGCCCCTGCGGAACCTGGGCACGGGGATGTCCCCCGGGGCCCTGGGGCCCTTGGACTTCTGCTGCTGCTTCTTCTCTAGGAGAGACGGGTGACATTTCTGCAGCAGTGACACCCCGGGGGTCCCTCCAGCTGGCAGAGCGCGGGTGGGACGTCACCAGAGGATGTCCCACAGCAGGATCCGGCCACGCCACGGGCTCCTGGCCACCTGTGGGTGCCACCTGTGGGTGCCACCTGCGGGTGCCACCTGCGGGTCCCACCTGCCGCCTGCCTCTTGCCGGGCTCCGGGCGCTTCAGGGCCTCGCGGCTCCGCATCAGCTCCCGCAGGCGGAACGGGATCTCCTGCTCCTCGGGGTGCTTGGGCTTCATGTTGTCCTTCTTCTCCTTCCTGCGGAAAATGAGCACACTGAGGAGGGCTGCAGGGAGCGCCAGGACCTGGAGACCGGGATAGCGAGACCAAGGAAACCGGGACAGCGGGACTCAGACATCACGGGACACCGGGATCCAGGTATGGAAGGATGCTGGGATTTGAGCACGCTGGGAAACAGACTCAGGCATGGCCGGACACCGGGACCGAGGCGTCGGGAGACACCGGGGACAGCACGGGCAGAGACCGGGACGCAGACGCCGAGAACGGGACCCCGCGCGTGGGTCCGGGTCCCAACCGGGAGCGGCCCCGAATGGATCCCGCGGGCACTGACCTGCTGCGCAGCGGGACGCCCGGGCCATGCTCCCATCTCGGCCCCGCTTTCTGTCCCGGCCCCGCTTTCCGTCCCTGTCCGGGTCCCGGTCCCGCCTTCTGTCCCGGTCCCCGGGCCGGTTTCGGTCCCGGTCCGGGTCTCTGTCCCTGTTTCGGTCCCTGTCCCGGTTTTTGCCGCGCTCCCCGGGCCGGTCCCCCGGCCATGGCTCCGCCACCCCTCACGCGCCCGTTCCGCCGCCACTTCCGGCTCCTGGCCCCACCCCCTGCTGCTTATTGGCCCCGCCTTCTCCGCGGCGGAGCGCGCCGGGCTGCCATTGGCTGTGGGAGCTGTCAGTCAGGGCGGGGGCGGGGCCAGCGCGCTGCGGGCGGATGCTGCTGCGGGGCCTGGCGGGGCCGCGCCGGGGGGTGAGCGGGGACCGGGGACACGGGGGGACACGGGGAGACAGGGGGGACACCGGGGACACGGGGGGACACGGGGGGAGTCCTCGGGGGGGCAAAGAGGTGCTGGGCGTGAGATGTGAGCGAGGACCGGGGGACGTGGGGCGTCAGGGGGCGTGCTGGGGATGGCGGGGGACGGGGGGGGATGTGGGGGACATGAGGGGACAAGGGGGAGATGGGGGATGTGGGGGACATGAGGGGACAAGGGGGGGATGGGGATGTGGGGGACATGAGGGGACAAGGGGGGGATGGGGATGTGGGGGACATGAGGGGACAAGGGGGGCTTTGGGGCTGGGGGATGTGGAGGAAACAAGGGGGATGGGGATGGGGGTGCAGGGAATGGGGTGGGGGGCAGGAATTGGGGTGTTGGAAGGGGATATGGCGGTGCTGACACTGGGGGGACACTGGGAGCAGGGAATGGGGTGGGGGCAGGAATTGGGGTGTTGGAGGGGGATAGGGCAGTGCTGGGGGTGGCAGTGGGGGTACCCCGGGAGCAGGGGGTTCCTGTGGCTGAGCTGGGGGTGCAGCAGCCCCACCGTGCCCCCCAAACTGGCACCAGCAGGGGGGTCTCGGTTCCTGCAGCCCCCAGGCTGCCCCGGGAGGACCCCCCACCCCCAGCCCGCCACTGCCTGCAGCCCCCGGGAGCGCTCGGACACCGCAGCAGAGGCTGGGGGCACCTCGGGCACGGCGGGAAGGGACAGCAGGACAGCCACCCCTAATGGGGACAGGGGGGACCCTCCTGCAGCGCCCCCGGTGCCCCCCCCGCCCACCCACTGCTGCGGGACCGGCTGCCCCAACTGCGTCTGGGTGGGATACGTGGAGGAGCTGCTGGAGCGGCACCGGGACGGCGGAGCCCAGGCCTTGGCGGCCGTGGAGCAGCACGTGGAGGACGAGAACATCAAGATGATCCTCAGGATGGAGATCAGGCTGCGTGCCAAGAAGGACTGAGCCTCCTCCGGGCTCCCCAGCCTTGGGGGGACACCCCTGGGGTGACAGGATCCGGGCCTGGGTTGTTTGTAGTGTTTGTTGTGTGCTGAGCACGGCATCCCGGGGGTGGCACACGAGGCCAGGTCACCTCCTGTCTCACAGGGAGCTGTCCTTGGGGACAGGCAGTGACTCAGGGCTGTCCTGAGCCCCGGATTTCCCAGGAGCTGCATGCTGTGCCCTCCCCAGCATGGCAAATCCCTGCCAAGGGCAGGCTGGGCGGCCCCCCAGCCCTCCTCCTCCTCCTCCTCCTGCTGTGCTCCCAGCTGGAATTTAAGCACCTTGGGGGGATTTTCAGCACCTTGGCCATGCCCTGGTGATGGGGAGGGCTGGAGGGCTGTGCCAGACCCCTCCCCACCAGCACCACAAAGCCTCTTAGGGGCTTCTCCGTGGGGGCAGCGTGTGGCAGCGAGCACGTGGGCAGCAGCAGCCTCCTGTCAAGGACACTGGCCCTGTCCCTGGTGTCACATCCTGCCGGGCTGCTCTGCAAGGTGCCTCTTCTGCCTCCATCTTAAATCCCCAGAAACTTGTCCCAAGCTCCCCCCTCCATCCTGGGGAATTCAGAGCTGTTGAGACCCGCACAGACCCCTGCACGTCATCCCAGGACAAAGTCCCCGGGAGCCACCCAGCGCTTGAGTGTCACTAATGAACCCCAATTAACAGCCAGGCTCTGCTCTCTGCCAGAGAAGTAGGTGTTTCTCCATGGGAAATGCTTCTGGATCCCTTTAATCGTATTTGTAATTGCAATTAGTGGCAGGGGCTGAAGTTCAATTAAAGTGTGCTGAGATTAGTCCATTTTTAATTGCTTTAGTGCTGGATTAAGGAAGCTTTGGAGCAACACCAGCCACGAGCAGGGGCTGCTGGACCCTCTCTGGTATCAGGACCCCCACCCAGGCTGGGCTGGAGCCTGGGATGGGGGTCCCATTGCTCCCTCTGGGATCAGGGGACACTGGGGGAATCTCTTTGGGAACGGGAGGCAGGATTCCCCCACGTGGGATCCGCTGCCCACCGGCACGGGCAGAGCTAATCCTGACACCTCCTGCCCCCCAGAGCAGGGGAAGGACACGGGATTACCCCTGGGGAAAGCAGGGAGGTCAATAATCCTATTACCCCCGGGCAGGATAAATCTCCCTCCCCGCAAAGTCCCAGAGCATCTGTGGGCCGGAGGGAGCCGGGCCGGGCGGAGGGAGCAGCTCTGGGATCGGGAATCGCGGCACTCTGTGAGTCGGGGCTCTCCGGGAGGGGACCTGGGGTTGTTTGCTGCCCCTCCTGCGCCCAGGAACATCCAGGAGCACCTCCCTGCCTCGGGTCCTTGTTCCCAGGGCCGTGTCCAGCTCTGCAGCAGGGCCAGATCCCCCACACCCATCCCAGAGTGGGGCTCCTGCCGCAAAATCCCCACTCCTGGTGCCAGGGACCATCCCCTGCTGCCCCTTCCCAGCCCGGGGTACCCACCACACCCCCACACAGACCTGGGCACGCCCTGGAGGGGCCTGGCAGTGCCCGAGGGGTCCCAGGTGTCACTTCATCTGGGGTGGGGGAGCAGCAGCACCTCGGGGGGCCCTTCCCACCTTTGGGGGGTCAGGCTGAGCTGGGCCGAGCAAGCCTTGTGGGGAGGAGAAGCTCTGCAGAGCCCACCTGGGGCTGGGTGGGAGGAGAAGCTCTGCAGAGCCCACCTGGGGCTGGGTGGGAGGAGAAGTTGGTGGCCCCATTTCCCTCCAGTGGGGGTGAGGAGCTGTCCCGTGGCAGTGCTGATCTGTAGGGAACACCATGAGCTCTGGGGGACACCGTGACCCACAGGGAACACCGTGAGCTTTGGGGAAACGCTGTGACCCACAGGGAGCACCATAAGCTCTGGTGGACACCATGACCCACAGGGAACACTGTGACCCACAGGGAACACCGTGAGCTTTGGGGAGCGCTGTGAGCTTCGGGGGACACCGTGATCCTCAGGGAACACTGTGATCCTCAGGGAACACCGTGAGCTCCTGGGGAGTGCCGTGAGTTCTGGGGAAACGCTGTGATCCACAGGGAACACCGTGAGCTCCGGTGGACACCGTGAGTTCTGGGGAAACGCTGTGACCCACAGGGAGCACCGTAAGCTCTGGTGGACACCGTAAGCTCCAGGGGGACGCTGTGATCCACGGGGGACACCGTGATCCACAGGGAGCACCGTGAGCTCCAGGGGGACACCGTGATCCGCAGAGAGCACCGTGAGCCCTGGGGGAACGCCGTGACAGCCCCGGGGCTGTCAGCCTCCCCACAGCCATGAGCCTGGAGCCCCCCAAGCTGGAGGTCAAATCGGCCACGAGGGTGAGCGGGGGTCCTGCCACCCCCCGCAAGGGACCCCCCAAGTTCAAGCAGAGGCAGACGAGGCAGTTCAAGAGCAAACCCCCCAAAAAGGGGGTGCAGGGGTGAGTGGGGAAGGGCCCTGGGAAGGGGGTGGGCCCTGCCTGGGGTCAGGCCAGACAATTCCTCTCTCCTTGCAGGTTTGGTGATGACATCCCAGGCATGGAGGGGCTGGGAACAGGTATGGGAATGGCATCCCTTTGGCAGTGGGGGGCAGGGCTGGGGAGGGGTCCCACTGCCACAAGCTCTGTCCTGTCTCTCCTCAGACATCACTGTCATCTGTCCCTGGGAAGCCTTCAGCCACCTGGAGCTGCACGAGCTGGCTCAGTACGGAATCATTTAGGATTTGGGCAGGCTCACCAGCCCTGTAGTGATGTGTAGGTCGAGGACCCCCTGCCCATGCTGTGGCGGGGCTCAGTTTGGAAAAATGCTCATTAAACCCTAACGAGCACAGGAGTCAGCGTTGTGAGCTGGGGAGGAGGGAAAGCGGCGCCCCAGGGCCTGGGGTGGGATGGGCAGGACACCAACGGGTTCAGGATTCTCACAAGGCTTATTTGGGGTAGACCAGCACAGCAGACACCCCCAAATCCCCACCCAGACAGCTGCACACCCTCAGCAGCAGCACCCATGGCCACGGTGGCACAGACAAGACACAAAGGGGTTCGGTATTTATAACAAAGTTTATTTGGGCCCAAACCCACTCCCTGCATATCCCAATCCCCACGGTGCCCTCACTGCCACACCCTCACGGCCGTGACCTCCCCGAGCACCCTCAGAGCCATGAGGGCTCCCACGGCCTCCAGCAGCACCAGGGTGGTGGCCCCGGCGGCGATGGCCCCGGCCTGGCCCCGCAGCCATGCGGCCAACGCGGCCCCACAGCCCCCCGAGTGCAGCAGGGCCCCGGCCGCCGCCTCACCCAGCGCCAGCGCCCCGAACCCGCACTGGGCGTTGGGCACGGCGCCGTCCTGCAGCGGGGCCCGGCAGCAGGAGGCTGGCACGCCACACGCCTGCACGCCCGGGGCGCTGCAGTTGAAGTACCTGCGGGAGGGACACGGAGATGTGGGGGCATGCACATTTGGGGTGTGGGGATGGGGTCTCCCACCCCCCCCACCCCCTCAGCTGGACACCAGCTGTGGGTTCTGGCTCATCCCTCTCTGTTCTGGGCTGTTCTGGGGCTCCCACTGCGCCAAACACGAGTCCCCAGCACACACCCCACAAGGAACGGAGTGGTTTTCAGCCCCACAGTGGGCTCTGGGTCCCAAAAAGGAGGGTTTAACCTGCATTGTGGGGATGGAGTCCCACAGAGGAGGCTTTAACCTCCTTTGTGGGGATGGGGTCCTATAGAGGAGGCTTTCAGCCCCATGGTGGGCTTGGGGTCCCAAAAACGAGGCTTTCAACCCCGTGGTGGGCTTGGGGTCCCACAGAGGAGGCTTTAACCTCCATTGTGGCGATGGGGTTCCCCCCCTACACCCCCCTGACCCCGACTCACGGGTTGCTCTCCCAGTCGCGGTAGGACTCGAGGCCGCAGCACCGGAGGCTCTGCTGCACCTCATCCACCAGGAACTGCAGGTCGGGATCCTCCTGGTAGCGCAGGAGGCAGAGCAGCAGCAGGTCCCGCAGCGCGCCCCGCAGCTGCCGCCACAGCAGCAGCAGCAGGAGCCCCCCCAGCAGCTGCAGCCCCCCAAAAGCCAGCACGGCGCCCAGGAAGAAGCGCAGCAGGCAGGGGCTGGCTCGCAGGGCGCCCAGGCAGCCGGCCAGGGACACGGTGCTGGCCCCCAGCCCCGCCAGCACCAACAGCAGCATGGGGTCCGAGCCCAGGGACACCCCACGCTGCCCCCCGGGCACGGGGCTCTTGGTCAGCAGCCCCCAGACCCCCACGGCAAGGGTCAGCAGCCCCAGCAGGAGGAAGAGGAGGTTCCAGAGGAAGGCCAGGTAGCGCACGCAGTGGCTGAAGGGTTTGGGGGGGTCCTGCTCAGCCATGTCACCATCATCGTCATCAGAGGAGGAGTAGGGCAGCTCCACCAGCCTGGATGCCTGCACAGACAGAGGAGACACTCACAGCCCCTGGAAATGTTCCTCCATCCCACAGCCAGAGGCTGTCACAGCCTCCCGGAGCCACCCCACACAGCCCTGCTCATCATGGGGGTCTGCAGGGGAGCACCCCAAAGACTCCGACCCTACGGGACCCCCAGATCCATCCCTATGGAGACCCCCAGGGATGCAGAACGTGGGGTGCCCGGGAAGGGGTCCCGTGGGAGAGGAGCGGGACCCCGGGAGTACCTGGGGCAGCAGCCGGGTGCCCTCCCCGTGGGGCTGGAACAGGCGGACTCTGCTCAGCGCCATCGCCGCTGCCTCGTGCCCGGACCCGTCACACTGCCATCATGTGAGGGGCTGCGGGCGGGCTTAAATGGGGCTGTGTGTGCCGCCCCACAGCTGGGCACGATCTGCCACCCATCCACGCCCACAGCTGGGCACGATCTGCCACCCACCCACGCCCACAGCTGGCCCCAATCCCCCCTGCCCCACAGCTGACCCCGATCCCCCCTGCCCCACAGCTGGGCCCGATCCCCCCTGCCCCACAGCTGGCCCCAATCCCCCCCTGCCCCACAGCTGGCCCCGATCCCCCCCTGCCCCACAGCTGGCCCCGATCCCTCCCTGCCCCACAGCTGGGCCTGATCCCTCCCTGCCCCACAGCTGGCCCCGATCCCTCCTGCCCCACAGCTGGCCCCGATCCCCCCCTGCCCCACAGCTGGCCCCGATCCCTCCCTGCCCCACAGCTGGGCCCGATCCCTCCCTGCCCCACAGCTGGGCCTGATCGCCCCCTGCCCCACAGCTGGCCCCGATCCCTCCCTCCAACACCGCGCGGCCCCTCCGAGGCCACCGCGGGCGGAACTAAAGTGCGAGCGCTGGGTGGGAGGGGACACTTGTGTCCGTGGCACCGCGGCAGCATGGGGGACCGTTGTGGCCGTGACACCGAGGCAGCACGGGGGGACGACTGGCGGTGACACCGGGTAGGAACCTTGGTGCGGCGGAACGCGGGCGCGGGGCGCGGGGCCGGGGGGCGGGCGCGAGGGCGGGCCGGGCCCGGGAGGCGCGGCCGGGCCGGAGGAGCCGGGAAGGACCGGGAGGCACCGGGAGGCACCGGGAAGGACCGGGAGGAGCGGAGCGGCACGGGCCGGAGCGGCCGTGGCTGTGCGGCGCGGCGAGCCCCGGGCCCGCGGGCAGCGCCATGGCCGAGACGATTGTGAGTGCGGCCGGGGGAGGGGCGATGAGGCAGCAGATTCCTGTGGGGCCGGGACGGGGGCCCGCGGCCGCGGCCGGCGCTGGCCGGGCCGGGCAGGCCCCGAGCGGCGCCGCGGGCGGGGGGCTCGGGGCTGCTCGCTCCGGTGAGGGAATCCCGGCGGGTTTGTGCCCTGAGGGAAGGCGGCGGGGTGAAAGGGGTGACGGCGGGACACGGGCAGCTCGCCGTGACCCCTCCCGTGCCTGTGCCTTGCCCGTGTCCCCGTGTCACACAGCCGCGGTTGAGCGTCCCCTTTAGAACCGCCCGAGTCCCAGCGCTGCCCCTCAGCGCTCCGGGGACACCGAGGTTTAATTTGTCCCTTCCCTGCCTGTCCCCGGAGGATTCCCCTCCCTGTTCCCCCCGACCAGCAGCTCCGGTTCCCCGCGGGCCGCTGGAGTCTCTCCCTCCTCCCTCGCTACCGGGGCAGTGCCCAGTACCACCCGCTGGGCCGGTGTCTGTGTGAATAACTCCCTTGGGAAGGTCTGATCCAGCCTCCTGAAGGTCTCGTTCCATCTCTGAGGTCAGAGCTTCGGCCAAAGGTGCTTTCCTTGGTGCCAGCTCGTGCCCAGAGCCCGGAGCACTGGAATGATTCCCCCCGTGCTCACAGACATCTCCCAGAGCTGCTCTCTGGTGTTTCCAGGCGCTGTGGAAGAGGGGAGCAGGAGGGAGGAGCAGGGGACAGCAGGCTGGGGGCTCAGGGTGGGCTCTGTCCCCGTTCCTGACCCGCTGTTCCCTCATTCCCAGATTATCCGCGTGCAGTCGCCGGAGGGAGTGAAGAGAATCACGGCCACCAAGAGAGAAACGGTGGGAACGTTCCTCAAAAAGGTACCCCAGGGTGCACAGTGCCTCCCCGGGGATGGGGCAGGGCTCCCCTGCCTCTGTCCCGTGGCAGATCCGTGTTTAACCCCCTGGCAGCAGCGTTCCATGTGGAAAACCACACTTTGACTGGTGTGCCGTGTGTTGTTCCAAAGGGAAAATGACAAATTTAAAGAAAAAAACTCCCTCAGCTTCTTTGTTGCAGCTTCCCAGGATGGGAACTTTCCTGGGAAGGACTTTTTGGGGTTCACCCAAAGAAGTGGCAGCTGGGAAGCAGAAGGGGAGCTGTGGGATGGTCAGACCTGCTGCTCCAGGCTGGCTCAGCTGCTGGATTTGGGCTTGGAATATCGTTTGGGTGGGCTGTGTGTTCTCCTGGGATCCCAGTCTGGATTTGGGAAGGGCAGGGGAGGGATGGGGTGAGCCCCCAGGAGCTCCTGGGAGGGGAGCACGCCAGGTGGGAGCTCTGGGGATGAGGCTGTCCCTTTGCTCCCCTGCTGGAGTTCCTCTGGAGCCCTGGCCTGGGGGTTCTTTGCTCCATGATGTGTATTCCTGCAGGGAAGGGAATGGCAGCAGTGGGAACCTTCCCTTTGTGAGTCACAGCTTGGGCTGGAGCTGTGGCCCAGACAGGACAGCGTTCCCACCTGGCCAGGAAAATCCTGATGTTTTCCAAGGCTGGCTCAGGGACACTCCCTGCAGCCTCAGCCAAGGCAAGAGGAGCTTCCAGGACCTCTGGAGCCTGTGCAGAATGAGCTGCTGCTTTCCAGGGCTCGGGTTACTCGGGCTGGAAAGCATTTCCTGCCAGGACAAAGGCACCTGGAATTGCCTGTTCACCTGGGGAGGGCTCTGGCCTCTGGCTGAGCTGCAGCACAGACGGGTTGGGGTTTATTTCCTGCCACAGGGTTTGCTTGCAAGAGGAAAGTGGCAAATTTTCCCACCTGAGGTCCGTGTTTTATCTAAATCCAGGTCTCTCCTACCTGTGCTGTGGATTTTAATGCTGGAATGTTCAGCCAGGGGCTGGGTTTGGTGTTTGGGGGGACAGCAGTAATTAGAGAGGTGTCAGATTGCTGCTTCCATACCAAGAATTAACCTGGATCTGCTCCAGAAGTGCTCAAGGAATAAAGGGCTGGAGAATCTTCCCTGTCTCCTGTGGCACATCCCAGGGAAAAGCACCAAAAAAAGTCACTCTGGCTGTGCTCGGGATCAGGAATCAGCTCCAACCTGCTGTTAATGTGTACTGGGATTTGTCTGCCTCCAAAAATGGAATTCTGTGGCCTGAGGAGCAGGAGCTGATCCCTGTGAAAGGGTCCCATTCAAAGGGATCTCTCAGTGCTGCAAATCACAGCTGAGCTGACAGGAAAAAAAAAAACTGCTTTTCATGGCTGTGCTCATGTGACAGCTCTTTGTGGCTCGTCAGATTTGTCCTGTGGGCAGGATCCCGTCCCTGACTCCGACCAAAGGCAAGGGGATGGTTTTGTTAATAAAAATAAAGGCCTTTCCCTTCAGAATTTAGGGCAAAACCTGGCAAATAGACAAATTTTAAACACCACTTCTAAACGTATGAAGTTCTCAAGGAGCTAAATGTGCCAATTATTTCTGCTGGGAAGAGGTGTTGGAGTGATTCCAAGTAAACCAGACTTAATCTGAGCTGGGAGAACCTGCCTGGGGACTGAGGGGTGGCTGCTGTGGGAGTGAATTCCATGGGAGAGAGGAGAAAAGGGGGGAAAACCAGACAGAACAGCAGGAAGAGGTTGAGTGAAGCAGCTGGGAGGTGGAAATGGAGCTGAGGGCAGAAGATCCACAGAGGTGGAGGTGTGGATTGTGGAATTGTGGTGGCAGGAGGATGGGAATGACCTGGAGGTGTGTGCTGGAGCAATAGAACTGGGATAGTGGAGAAGTTTCCCCCTGCTGCCGTGCAGGGCTTGCCTGGCTGCAGCTGGAACTCTGCCTTTGTGTGGTGTGAGGCAGGGACAGTTCTGCTGAAGTTGTTTCAGCTCCTGTTTAATCCATTGCTCATTTTTCCTGGTGTTTCCTTCTCTTGTTATCCCGAGCTCAGGAATGGGGGTGAATTGAGCTGAGTTTCTGGAGGAGAAGGTCTCTGGGGCTAGCTGTGGTTCTGAGCCCCTTTCAGGAGGCTCCCACCTCACACCTTGTCCCTCTTGCCCGTGTTGCAGGTGGCCAAGGAGTTTGGGTTCAGGAATAATGGCTTTTCCGTGTACACCAACCGCAACAGGACCGGCGAGATCACGGCGGCGCAGAACAAATCCCTCAACCTGCTCAAGATCAAGTGAGTCCTCACCAGAAGGGCTCTGCTTGGAGCTTCCAGAATGGGAGAAGTCCCATCCCAGGAGTCCCCAGCTTCCAGTGTCACTCCTGGTATTGGGGAGGAGGGCTTTGGGGGTCACAGTGACACGGGAGAGGTGGTGGCTGTTCCTTGGGTCACTCCTTGGGGTGTGTTTGCTGTGGGGAGGCTTCATCCCAGTTTTCCCTCCCTAATCCCTGCTTTCACCTCTTTGTCCCAGCTTTCCCAGCCTCATCCCCACTTTGCCTCTCTCATCCCCAGCTTTCCCTGCCTTATCCCCCCACTGCCCTCCTGTATCCCAGTTTCCACCCTTTCATCCCTGCCCTCCCTCACACGTCTACTTCCCCTCCCTCACCCTTCTTTCCCTACCTCATCCCAGCTTTCTCTCCCACATCCTTGTTTTCACTCCTTCATCTCCACTCCCTCCTCCATATTTTTCCCTCAGCTTTGTTTCCTGCTGGAAGGATTTGCATTTATGGCAAATAAAAGCAGGAGGAGGTGGCTCAGCTTCCAAGTGCCACCTGTGCTGGCCTGGCTAGAATTTGTGCCACATTCCCTGCTCTTCCATGGAAGTTGGCTGCCTGCTGGGAAGCACCTCCAGCTTCCTGGCTGTTGTCTCCCACAGCTCCCATGTGCTGTTTCCCACCCTGCAGGCACGGGGATATGCTGTTCCTGTATCCCTCCAGCCCAGCTGGCTCCTCCTCAGAGACCATGGACACCTCTGTCTCCCAAAATTCCCGGCCTGGGGGGGCCCCGCAGGTGGTGGAAGATGAGATTGACCAGTACCTGATCAAGCAGGATGGGAAGATCTACCGGAACCGAGACCAGCAGCTGTAAGTGGGGCTGGGTCGTGGTCTTGCCCGTGGAGCTGGGGCTCACCAGAGCATGGAGTGTCATGGCCCAGCCCAGCAGTCAGGAAATTCCTGTGGGTGCTGCCCTTGGCTCCATCCTGACTGCTCTGGGGACATTTTCAAGGGAAAACAGCCCCTGTTGTTGTGCCAGGAGGTTCAGTGGAGCCCTGGTGAGCCTAGGGAGGAAGCAGACACCCAAATCCCAGGGTTTTTGGCAGGAAGGACTCGCTCAGAGCAACCA